GCCGTCGGGAGAGGAGGGCTGGCGGCGCGAGGCCCAGGGCCGCACCAGGTGGTGCAGGTGGAGCTGCTTGGGCGAGAAGGCGGCGCGCGACGCCAAGCAGTGCTGCCTGGCGGATCCTCGGCAAGAGCTGTGCGCTGTGGTCCCAGATACGATCGCCGATAAGGGTTCCGACGAGACAGACTGAAAGCGGGGCGATTCTCAGAACACTTCCCTGGGGCTTCTCTGATTCCTAATCTTTCCTTAACTCGATTTTTATTTTCAGAGCTGCTCCAGAAACAGAAAGAAAACTAAGCTCTCGAAAGATGAGGGCTGCAAATGCGAAATGACAATACGTCATTGTTTGTCAAGATAATAGTGAAGTATCATCGTTTAGATATCATAAGATAAATTGATCAAAATACGTTTTCAATGCGAAAATATCTTCATCGATCACGACATTCGATGCCCTTCAATAACCTCTATTAGCCCCGACTTTATTATCAATGTTTTTGAGGAGAATGTTGTGAGATAAAATAATTACAACTCATATAATCGAACTCTCGAAGGAATTGTGTCATGGGAATAAAGAATTTTAACGTTTGTTTAAAAATATAATGGAATTCAGAAACCAGAAAGGTTTTAAAAAACGCAAAAATTGAATTTATTTGAAAAATATTAATCATCAATCGCATAGAAATACATTAAAAACTAGCACAACAGCACGTATTATTTATAATTTCGTCGCAACATTATAATACTATCAACCCGCAAATGTGTTTTCAACCAGCAAAATACTTTTTCCACACTGGGATTCGATCTCCGGTACTTGAGCACGCCATTCACGTTGCCCATATACCACCGACCTAACATGTAAAACCACCTTCAGGGAACTTTAAAAACGAAGTTGAACACTTGCATTTGCAATTTTCGGAGATTAGGAGATTTTCATTGACATTATATAAGATCAAATATTAAACAATAATACAAAGAAAAATCTCTTCAGTCAATATTGCACTTCAGAAATGTTAATTTTTTGTTTGCAATATTGTTAACTACAAAGTGTTGGTCAAAAACGTGATCTATGATATTTTTTAAACGTAATTTCCTCTATTCGAACAGATTTCATTAGGAAGAAAAGCTTAAATCTGTAGGTATAAGTAATTTTGCGCGTAATTTTGATAGTCATGTTTTTTCTCTTTCTGGAAAGAAGGTAATTGAAAAATTTGGAGCCATTTTCGAGAAAACGTGGAAAATGTCGTTGAAGCGTCGCATAAAGTAAATCAAATCATCTGTTTCAAGTTCGAAGGGCCGCCAGAAAGATCGATCGAAGGATATCGATACTGGTGAAAATACTACCTATAGTTGAGATGCTAGCCTTGTTCATAGGCAGATAGGCTGACGTTTTCCTTAAAGCAATTTTCAAGGATCTACAGAACGTGGCTTCTTACTACACTATGCGTTGAAAGAAGTAATTTACTATATTCAGAAACAATAACTCTCCACTCTCTCGGTATCAGAAGTATCATTTGTCGAAAAATCGCCGTTTTTCGTTGCAGCTTTACATAATTTTCTCTAATAACTACGTAAGTACCATATGAGAAAGTAATATTGAAAATGAAAAACAAACGAATAAATCACAACTTGCCACTTTGTAATATCCACATTGTCATTAAAGAATTTCATTCATTCTATTTTGTTACATATATTGTGAGTAATATGAGGGTGTCAGCGCAATAGTGGCCTATCCCACATTTTTAGGAAATTGCGTTCTCTGTGTTAACAACATCTTAATCTCGGCTAACTTCAACGTGTAACAGTTTCAGCCTGTTCGCGTCGATAGTTTTCGCAATTAAAATTACAAAATAACTATTGCATCTCACTTACGATTACATTATTTGGTGCAATAAGTGGCCTAGAGCATAGGCGATTGCTGTTTTACCCAAGATGTAATCCACCACAAAGTTGTTTAGTCAGTGGCCATTCTTACATAATAGGTCATCCATATGAAAACACTTACAAATGAGTGTTTAATTTTGCCCAATAACTTCATCAGACATTTTCCTCCACACAGGATCGGGGGATGAGGCCACTATTGCGCCGACACCCACGATATAAACGGTGGTTTTTAGAACGGGAGAAAGAAATTTTTCACTGTAATATGGACTGTAATCTAACTAGACACTCCATCCCGCTGAAGAAAGATAATTTAGAGATATGCCAAGTCAGAGGAATAACATCAAATTGAAAACCTTCTGCAAAGGCATCAAGAATACATCCCATCACGTAATCTGAAATATATTTTAAACAACAAAGCTTTTTTTTTCAAAGTTCATATTTTGGATTCGCAGCAGAAAATGACGAGTGTCAAGAGTTAAATAAATCTATCAAATATTAATGTCAAAGGAATTATGGTTGAAGTGGTTTAGGTCTTTACATGATCACTGAATAGGGCGTTGACAATCAAGGAAATGAGAATAGATGTAAGCGAAGCACACTGCCCTAAGAAATGTCTCATTAAAAAATATATTATTCGCAGGAATATTCAAAATTGGGAAAGAAGCACTTCACTACAGTTCTCCATTCCTCCATACAGTACCAACAATTTTTTAGATAATTCGCTTTTGCAAGCATCACAAAACTTAAAATAACAAAAAACAGAATGATATGTTCCCTTTTACACATTTTGTCAGCAGAAATAGGTATTACCATAGACTCACTTACAAGCCTATCTTACCATTGCTGTCATAATAATGAGAGAAAAATCTCTCAAGATGTAAGTGTTGCAATTGTGTACGAATGCACAATGTCTTCAATCTAGATCAGGTAAAGTTCTAACATCACAAAGCGTCGTTTAAGGGAAGAATCAAAATCAATCATCTTCACAAACTCACGAGGTAAACAAGTAATGTCTTCTCTTTACGTTTATGTCATCAACAATGAGAACGGCCCACAGACTCATTAAAACAAAAGACCTACTGCATTAAAAATATATAATGTACTACTACTAATTCGATTTGATTCACAATCAGTTGAAGTTTCTTTTAACATAATAATTAAATAATATGTATCTTTGAGGAATATCTTAGTGTAGTTTCTATTTGTGGCACTTATACATTTAATGTAGACAGTTACTTCTATACGTAATACATGGACTTCGAATTTCAAGAAAAATTCATATTTTTCAACAAAACATTAGCAACCTCTTGATTCCAAATATAACTTTTAACACTACCGTATACATACGTACATACGGAGTAATATACGTAGTACAGGAAAAGTTATGTAATGCTGCGCGAAAAAACGCCGGATTTTCAGGAGAAAAAAATTCATTGCCGGGCCCTGATAACAAAAATTGGATAAATACAGTTGTGAGCCCCTCCATAGTTCATGAGTTCTTTCATTAATGTCAGTCACATTTATTTGAAAATTTTAGGAGTTTTCACACAATATAGCGTGCAATATGCGCAATTTTAAAAAATTACAAAAACACAATTTTCTCAAAAACGGCTCCAAATTTTGTCTTTAAAATTATACTAGAGATAGGGCTAAAGGAAAATCTATGAGATGACATAAACGCCACATCGATCTGTTATTTTCTTTTCTAGAAAATTGCAAAAATGTAATTTTTTGGCTTGTCTCTCATGTCGTTAATATTTGCATTAGCGGCAATTTGTTCACATTATTGTTTTTATGAGTACGATTATGTGTGAGAGGAAGTAATCTACTACATCTGAAAATAGGATTTTTCCACTTTTTTCGTTACCAGAGCCAGCCTTTGTTACCAGCAATGGATTTTTCGACAGCCACTAATGAAAGCTTTTGGGCGGAAAGTGAGACGACGTGCAAGAGTTCTGATAAATCTGTGAATTCAACAAAGAAAAGCAAATTACTTTCTTGTGATAGCTTCAGCTACTACTAATCATAATAGCCCTAATTTGTGTACTTGAATTAAAATAAAATGATGATCAGTAAATCTGTCTAAAAATAGTGTATGACACAAGTAGTAAAAGTGATTAAATTTCTCTCGTAGACTTGCGCCACTTGCCCTATCAACCTCGTGTCGCGACTTATCTTACTCGCAAAATAGAATATCACTTTTACCCCTTGTTTCATAAATAATTATCCTGTCAAAAACTCGCCTTTTCTAGGCGCACGATTGCAATACTTCCTTTCTTACAAAACAAGAAAGAAAATAATAATCAGTCGTTCAAACGTCCAAATTATCATTAGCACATATCCCAATATTTTCCGATTTTTTTGCAAGTGACACACGACACATATAGGTTTGCGCATTTCCTCGTTGTACAAGGACAAAAGGGTAAAGAAGTGTATGATGACTCATCATTATGTGCAAGACGTAAGTTCTAAGATCGCTTGCGCAAATATATTATGGTTTCTTTCGAATTTCTTGGAATAATCTAATGTATAATTATTTACTGCCTGCCTAAAATCGACCTTATTCATTTATTTATTCCAGTCAGATTGTGTTTTAACAGTTCGTCATCTTGAGCATAATAAACAAATACCCGTACGCTCCCGAACCCCGTCACTTGTTTTGCAAATATGTCGCACTTCGTCCCTATAAAAAAACTTATTGAATTATTTTCTTTGACGCGACCGTCTGGACCGTCACAGTATAGAGCTTATTTTGTAATGCCACGATAAAAAGTGATCCCTGAAACTGTAAAAGGAGATTTTTCCTGATTCGTTTTTCTAAACGTCCTTCCGTCCGTCTCTGAATAACATCAGCACCTAAAGTATTCATATGATTTTTTTAATTTTCCCGATCGATCTGGTTTGAATTGAAACCTTGCAGTTTAGGAAAGAATTCTTGAAATATTGGGGAACTTTATTTTAACTCCTTGAAATATTTTCAAAATTTCTTCAAAACAGCCTCAAATTCCTCTTTAATTTCTTGTAGGAACAGAGAGAAATGCGTTAATAATGAAGACAGAGGTCCTATTTATTTTTAACACTGAATTATCGAAAAATACAAAAGTTTGACATTGTTTTATATACCCTCGTACAACTACATTATTGAAGATACCGCCTTTTTTCCTCAAATGAAATTCGTTCTCCACAATTAATTATTTAAATTGTGTCAATGTATTTTTTGTTGAAATATTAGTTGTTTTCGCGCAATTTTCATTGACATACGGGAAATATTGACAACAAGATTTTTTTCAAATTCGCCTCCGAATTTTTCTTCAAAATGT